CGCCTCGCTGCCTGGCCGGTCGAGCCTGACCGGCCGGAACCCTCCTTCGAGCACCCGGGGGCTCGAAGGCTTCACCCAGCGGGTGCGCCGACGCGCTCCACGAGCGCCGAGTCGCGCCGGCTGTTTTCGACGATCGCGACTTCACAAAAATCAATGTGAGCTCATCGCCCGCATATTTTTGCATCACGCAAGCACGGATAACCCCGAGCGATGCTCGGGTGCTATCTCCACATTTTTTATTACAATTGCATCACTGTTCGCCCCGGCGCCAGCCAGAGTTGGCCCGGGGCTGGCCGCTTGGCCGGAGACGTTAGTTCCCGCAGATGGCTTAGTAGCATGCGCGGTACCAAAGGCCCACTCTTAGTCACAGACCGCAGAGCGGCTGTCCGACTAGCAAGAGTGAACGCTGGAGGTCACCCACGCGAAAAACGTCTGGGAAGAAAAACGGATCAAGCGATCCGGCCGTTTCCTTTACAAGTATCTACTCGGTTGAATCTGCTCCTAGACTCTGAGTACTGTACACTCCACTTCGCGGCCCACTCTTAGCCACAGACCGCAGAGCGGCTGTTCGGTAAGCAAGAGCACAAGCCAAAAAGCGGAGGGAACACGAAAAAGATTAAGGGGGCTCGGACGAAACCGAGTCGGCACCCTCCGCATAAAACTTGCAATGCTAAAAGCAAACATTCGATATATCTGCATGGACTAACTTTGTCTTTTGTCTTGACAATTTCCATGAATACTCGCCAAAAAACCTTCGCCCAACTTTGCCAAGTTGCCCGGAGGCTTGGGGGCTATTGTCGGAGTAACCGATCAGGTGTACCCCGAGGATGGCAAGACGATATTTCAAGACATCGGGGCTAGCAAAGCCCCTCAGTCCGACTGCGCCAGCCAGCCGGCTGCCGACTACAGCCCGACCCGACATCGACAAGACACCGACGAGACGGCCATACCGCGAACAAGACAACCGTACCGCGACGACATCATGTACAGTGTCATTTGTCCCCTGGCACTATTTATGAAGTGACCCAGGGGACAAGCATGACATGCACCATGCCTTACCCATGCCTACCCACATAGCTTACATAGTAAGCTAGCCCACACTATAAAAGGGGCACACATCCATCCATCCAGGGGATGGACTCCCACGGCCACATTCATTTGGCCACAAGGCCTCACATACACACAAGCAAATAGCTAGCAAGCTAGTTAGCTATCCATCCATTCATCCACAGAGGAGACTCACGCATGAGCTCACACACATCCATTCGGCCATAGGCCATGGGCATAGCCGGCCACTAGAGCATGCCTCATACAGGCATACACCAAGTCAGATACCCGTGGTACTGATCCCAGATACAGCTCTAGGAGCACTCTGTACTAGATATATCAGATACACTCAGACATGCAGCAGTAGGAGTATTATCTCTCGGGAGAGCTCTGAAGCTGGGTAAACCACTGCGTGCTACTCGCATACCCGCTCCCGGTCCTATCAACAACAGTCTTACCCACACGCTAAGCCCTTGTGACATCTGTCGACTCACAAGCCCCCCGTAAGAATACCACGACACTACAGCCAGCTCCAGCGACTGGGCCGAGGCCCATGGTGAGCTCCCCAGTGACCACCAGATTTCAGCCTGCATCTTCTTTTTTTTTCCGTTCTGGTGATTTTAACATTATCCAGAGACTACCCAGTTTTGCAGAGAACCCCCTAGACATCATGCATTTTATAACTCTTGAACCGTGCATCGGATTAAAATGATCTAAACATGTAACTTGCTTAGTTTTTCATCTAGTTTAATAATATGCAACTTTCATCTATGTTTAAAATGTTTAAAATGATGTTTGATTAAATTTGCTCCTATGTCATGCTAAAATGCTTTATTTCATAACTAAATAACTGTAACTCGGTTTGTAACAAACTTTATATGTAAATGGGGTAGAATTTTGTCTAGTTTAACATGGTGGCTTCACTTTGCATGCTTAAAAACTCTAAAATTATGTTTAGGGCAGATCAGTACCAAACCTAATATATGCATATGAGGGTTTTCCGGACTTGTTTGTTTTGTTGTTCCGGCCTCATTAAACTTGCCTAGATTAGATAGTTTCATCATGCTTCACCTCTTGCCATGCTAACAACATTTAATCTTGTTGGGTACATAAACGAGAGAGAACTAAATAAGTCATGTGGTGTTTTCTTCAATATGCAACTCCGTTGCATAATGAGCTCCACTTAATTTGTAGGATTGTTTGTGCACTTTGCCATGCCATGCTTCATTAAACCGGACATGCATCATACTCGATTGTGCATCATGCCATATTGATGTGTTGGTTGTTTACTATGTTGTTTGCTTCTTTCCGGTGTTGCTTCTTCGGGTTGGTTCCGATAACGCCGCGTTTGTGAGAATCCGTTTGACTACGTCCGTTTATCTTCTTCATGGACTCGTTCTTCTTCCTTGCGGGATTTCAGGCAAGATGATCATACCCTCGAAATCACTTCTATCTTTGCTTGCTAGTTGCTTGCTCTTTTGCTATGCCTATGCTGCGATACCTACCACTTGCTTATCATGTCACCCATATTGTTGAGCCAAACCTCTAACCCACCTTATCCTAGCAAACCGTTGTTTGACTGTTTTACCGCTTTGCTCAGCCCCTCTTATAGCGTTGTTAGTTGCAGGTGAAGATTGAAGTTTGTTCCTTGTTGGAACATGGAGATGTTGTTCCTTGTTGGAACATGTTTACTTGTTGGGATATCACAATATATCTTATTTAATTAATGCATCTATATACTTGGTAAAGGGTGGAAGGCTCGGCCTCTTGCCTAGTGTTTTGTTCCACTCTTGCCGCCCTAGTTTCCGTCATATCGGTGTTATGTTCCCGAATTTTGCGTTCCTTACGCGGTTGGGTAATAATGGGAACCCCTTGATAGTTCGCCTTGAATAAAACTCTTCCAGCAATGCCCAACCTTGGTTTTACCATTCGGCACCTAGCCTCTTTTTCCCTTGGGTTCCGCGGACTCAAGGGTCATCTTTATTTAAACCCCCTGGGCCAGTGCTCCTCTGAGTGTTGGTCCAAACTAGAGCCCTGTGCAGCGCCCCCTCGGGGAAACTCGAGGTTTGGTTTTAGTTGTACGGATTGCTCATCTGAGTGTGCCCTGAGAACGAGATATGTGCAGCTCCTATCGGGATTTGTCGGCACATTCGGGCGGTGTTGCTGGATTTGTTTTAACTTGTCGAAGTTGTCTTGTAGAACCGGGATACCGAGTCTGATCGGAATGTCTCGGGAGAAGATATATCCTTCGTTGACCGTGAGAGCTTGTCATGGTCTAAGTTGGGACTCCCCTGCAGGGATTTGAATTTTCGAAAGTCGTGCCCGCGGTTATGGGCAGATGGGAATTTGTTAACGTCCGGTTTGTAGAAAACCTGAAGTGGACCTTAATTAAAATGCATCAACCGCGTGTGTAACCGTGATGGTCTCTTTCCGGCGGAGTCCGGGAAGTGAACACGGTGTTGGAGTAATGCTTGACGTAGGTTGTTCTAGGATCACTTCTTGATCATAGTTTTATCGACCATGCATTGCCTTCTCTTCTCGCTCTCTTTTGCATATATTAGCTACCAAACATGCTAGACGCTTGCTGCAGCTTCATCTCATACCTTTTACCTTACCCATAAGCTTAAATTGTCTTGATCGCGAGGGTGTGAGATTGCTGAGTCCCCGTGACTCACAGATACTTCCAAAACCAGCTTGCAGGTGCCGATGAGTCCGTGCAGGTGACGCCACTGAGCTCAGGAGGAGCTCGATGAAGATCTTGTCCTTTGTGTTGTTCCATTTCCAGTTGATCAATAGTGGAGCCCAGTTGGGGTCGATCGGGGGACCTTGTCGCTTTTGGGGTTCTTCTTTTATTTTGGTTCCGTAGTCGGACCTTGATTGTATCTGGATGATGTAATACTTTATTCATGTATTTGTGTGAAGTGGCGATTGTAAGCCAACTATGTATCTTTTTCCCTTATGTATTACATGGGTTGTGTGAAGATTACCTCACTTGCGACATTGCTTTCAATGCGGTTATGCCTCTAAGTTTTGCTTCGACACGTGGGAGATATAACCGCATCGAGGGCATTATAGCTTCGTGTAGACATGGTTTTCGATAAGGCGTGGCGGACATCCAGTCTCCCGCTTACCTTCCCCTTGGTTTGTGTCCGGTTGCGAGGTTTTGGACACGCAAACGCGTGAACGGACCGACGGGTCACCGTGTTGGATAGCTTACAGCGTCCGATCACGTCGGTCAAGACGTTTGCAAGCATTTTGAGGGTTCACTTTGAAGATGCCCTGATACATGAGTTCCTGCTAATAATCTTTACCTTTTTCATTTAACTTAAGCGTAGCCTGCATTTCAGAGGATTTTCGTATCACAACTTTCGATTGGCCAATTGTACACTCAAATGTTTCGCCGTATGTGATGTTTAAATAAAAACAAAATGCCTTGGCACATGTTCTAGACAAAAAAAATTCTTTCAAAACAAGCAAAGAAGAATCTCGCAAAAGAATAAATTCGTGTTGTAATCCAACTTTTTGTTTGAAGGGATAGGAAATTCCAAACATTTTTCTTCCCCGGGAAGACATTAGAATAAAAAGAGTAATGCGCACACACGTTCGGGCGGGAGGGGGATCCGCACCCCTTCATTTCAAAAGGGAATCGGGCCTTGGCCTGGTCTGCGTGCAAAGTACGCGCACTTCACATGCGATCCGTGTCGCGAGCAGTGCCCGGCACGCCGGCCAATCCCACGCGCGGCCCACAGGGTTCCCGCGCAGGGAGGATCCGGACGCCAAGCGACTATTAAACCCGGCTCTGGGTGGCCGCGCTATAAACCTCGCCTGCCCCCTCGGGTCCGCCGCACAGACTCGAGTCGTCTTCTTCCTCTGCTCTTGCTCGGATCCCCTACCCTGCTCCTCACCCCACCCCGCCTCTCGAGGCGCGGCACAGCACAGAGGAGTCGGCGGAGATGTCGGGCGTGACGGCGGATGAGGACAAGAAGCCCGCGGGCGACGGCGGAGGCGCCCACATCAACCTCAAGGTCAAGGGGCAGGTATGATCCACTCCGATCTCCGTCTTCCCCTCTTTTTTTCTCGATGGAGTACTCGTTCTGGTAGTGATGGTGGCGGTCGGATCCTAGTTCGTAGTGTAGTTCCAGCTCTGTGCTATCGATTTAGAATCCGGATCTCTGTTTCTGCTCCGTGGCCGATTGGTTGTTTTAGATTCGTGGCTCTGTAGGCTGCAGATGCGTGTGCCTAGTCTCGCCGACAGCCGCCGACTGGTGTCCCCTCGTTAGTTCGCACTTGAGGCTCCTGGTGCTCGTCGGTTGCTCTGTCGGCCCGCTTCACCTGTACTGGCGCCGTGTTTGTAATGTTTGTGTCTGTTCCGTCATCGATCTGTAGGCCTACATGACAGTCATAAATCTGCATTCTTTAGCCACTGGTAGGGTAGGATACGCCCAAATGTGGTCACTGTAGGGAACCAGGCTCCCCTAAGTAGTACTAGGCAAAACTTGAGCTCCTGTAATCCTGCTTATTGGTGATTATGATCTTGTTATCTAATTTTGCATTGGTATTCAGAAATAAAATTCATATGCTCTTCAGAAAGTATGTCAATACATAACTAGTGCGTTTTATTATTGCTTCGTAGTCAGTTTCAGTCCTAATTGTTTTCTCTGCACATCAAGCTTGTAATTGTTTTATATGGGAATAATGGCAACATGTGTGTACTAAATGCCTAGCTCTTGACACTTGTCCCTAATCTGTTCTGCAGGATGGCAATGAGGTTTTCTTCCGCATCAAGAGATCGACACAGCTGAAGAAGCTGATGAACGCCTACTGCGACCGTCAGTCTGTGGATCTCAACTCCATTGCTTTCCTTTTCGATGGTCGTAGGCTCCGTGGTGAGCAGACCCCTGATGAGGTATGCTGTTCAACTTTTTGCCAGCATGCCTAACATTAGAACCTTAACATTCACTAGGTTGATGGTCTGTGCCGTCGTTGATGTATTCTTTGCAAATTGTTTCAGCTGGAGATGGAGGAAGGCGACGAGATCGACGCCATGCTTCACCAGACCGGAGGGTGCTTTCCTCGCCCTTAGAAGGAGCTTGCTTGCAGCCTGGCTGTTCTATGTCGTATGCTACCTTTAGAACTAGAGTAAAATGTAAGAAGTGAAAGAACTTGTGAGGCTATGGTTCTGTGCCATAACCTGAGGGGGTCTGGAGGTGAAAGAACATCGGAGTACTGTTGATGTCGTGACTGAAGTATCATCCATTGCCTAATATATCATGCCTTGTTGTGTTCCTAGTGATTTGCAAACTCATTTGGTTTCTCATCGTAGTGAGGCATCATTTTCTGTCTTGTGTACTGTCGTGTGTACAGTTGTTTTTTTGGCATGCCCTGTTTTTGGCGGTGAGCAACAGTGTTTGTTTGCCGATAACACATTGCAGCTGTGCCAAGGTTCTGTAGAGTAGAAAGTTCAGAAGTTTGTAGTTTTGGGCTGAGCTGCGTGACTCACCGACAACAGGGATGCACTGTGGTGAATGCGGTGGTTTGGACTTTGGAGGATGCAGATTAGTGGCAAGATGACACGACGGCTTCCCCGCAAAAAAAAAAAAAGATGACACGACGGCTGCTCTCTGAAGAATACAAGTCTCATACCAAATAAGATTCCTGAAATCTAATCCTTATAAAAAAATTGAGTACTTCTGTTTGTTAAAAATAATCAGGCAGATCGAGCACCTTTGTCCCAGTTTCAATTCCACATAAGTTTTAAAACTCGTCTGTGGTTGAATAATTGATGCCAAACTTCACAAGTTTGACCATATAATATGAAATAATATCGACATCTACAATACTGAAGTTTGAAATATGAAGTAATATCAACACCTACAATACTAAGCATGGAAATTAAATCCATTACGCATCTAATGATAGAATGTTGATATTTTTCTCTATCGGACTTCAGACAAAACTTATATATGCAGAGTAAAAAGAATAGAAGGGAGTATGCCATAAAGCTTCATCCAACGCATTGCTGCTTAGGTGAGGTGCTAAGTTCTACCAACTAATTTTGGCAATGTATAAGTGCTTAACTTTTGTTATGCTTTCTTTATTTAATTGTTTTATAACTAAACTCTTTTATGCACTGGTTAGTAGGCAATTTACACATGTCCATACATTTAGCATTGTTTCTTCTCGAGGTCACCATAATACTCTCTCTTCTCTTTAATTTCTTTGTCATATCAGTTTTTTTGGTGTGCATATGTGGCACTCTCAACACATGTACACCATGAAGCACGTGCAAGTAGCTAGGCCAGAAAGAACGACATGTGGACTTCCAGCCCGTCACCCAAGCGGACACGTGCCGTTCGGTTGAGTCATCTACCGACCAAAGGTTTGACCACCAACGTCGACGAGCAGAAACATAAGACCGCCATCGACAAAGACAAGGAGCGGCAACACCAAAGCCTTTCAGCAAATTCTTCCATATAGGATTTGGAGGGAGAAGTAGATCTTTGCGCTGAAGAACTTGGATTATCACCATCGCCAAACTCCGAGGGAGGGCCTCTAGGAACTTGAAGCGCAGGCTCGGCACACGATGAGCTTCCTCCGGTTCTAGAAACCCTTGAAGGGGCCTCTGATGGAGGTTGAGGAGGAGTTGGAGAAGACCGCGCCTTGCACATCACCAAGAAGTCGACCTCTCTTCGGTGCATAAGACAGAAGAAAAAACCATCACTGGATCGAGATTATGGAGACATCAGAAGCTAGGCAAGAAGACATGTGCCTCCCCCAAATCAACTTGCTTCAACTTCCACGCGACCTGATTTGAGGCACAAATAATGAGCAGTTGGAGTATCAATGTGGTAAGATGCATTACCGGCCGAGAAAGAGCTAACAAGAGGTTGGGGGATTATTGGATCTAGGAGAAGAGCATCAAACAAGAGGCTTCATTTTGTCCTAGAAACTCTAGCAACAAAGTGTGGGAGAAGAGGAAAGAACAAAGCCGACTAGGACTAGGAGGTTATTTGAGGAGGAAGGAGCACCTACTACTCCAAGGATAACAAAGCCGACGACCGCAAAGCATGACCACCGGCGCCTCCACATCGGCGACTACCTCTGGACAACTGACGACAAAGCGTAAACTACTACTAGGAATGTAGTAGAAGAGGGAGATAAACAGGGTGAAGGGCGGCTCCGAGCCCCTCTACCCCTCTGTTGGGGAACGTAGTAATTTCAAAAAAATTCCTATGCACACGCAGGATCATGGTGATGCATAGCAACGAGAGGGGATAGTGTTGTCTACATACCCTCGTAGACCGTTCGCGGAAGCGTTATATCAACGCGGTTGATGTAGTCGTACGTCTTCACGATCCGACCGATCCAAGTACCGAAAGCACGACACCTCCGAGTTCTGCACACGTTCGGTTCGGTGACATCCTCGCCTTCTCGATCCAGCAAGAGGGGCGAAGTAGTAGATGAGTTCCGGCAGCACGACGGCGTGGTGACGGTGTTGGTGAAGAACAATTTTAACAGGGTTTCACCTAAGCACTACGAAAACTATGACGGAGGATAAACTAGAGGGGACGGGGTTGCCGGCACATGGCTTGGTGTTTCTTGATGTGTCTTGGGTGCTAGCCCTACCCCTCTATTTATATGTTGAGCCTTCGGGTCGAAACTTGGAGTAAAAGCCTCCACAAAGTCGGTTTCACCTGAAAGGCAAGAGTCCTTCTTGGACTCCAGGGCCAGACGCCAGGGTTCCCGGCGTCTGGACCCAGACGCCAGGGACCCTGGCGTCTGGCCCCTAGACTCCGCAAAACTTCCTTTTGCGCTTTCCAAAGACCTCGTGGGCTTTCCCCTTTGGCCCAAATAAAGTGTTCTCGTACCCAAACATTTCGAGAAACATCCGGAACCCCTCCCGGTGAATTCCGGAACCCTTCCGGAGTCCAAACACTATTATCCCATATATCAATCTTTATCTCCGGACCATTCCGGAGTTCCTCGTCATGTCCGTGATCTTATCCGGAACTCCGAACAACATTCGGTCACCAACATACATAACTCATAGTACTATATCGTCAACGAACGTTAAGCGTGCGGACCCTATCGGTTCGAGAACTATGTAGACATGACCGAGACACCTCTCTGGTCAATAAACAATAGTGGGACCTGGATGCCCATATTGGCTCATACATATTCCACGAAGATCTTTATCAGTGACACCGCATAACAACATACGTTGTCCCTTTGTCATCGGTATGTTACTTGCCCGAGATTTGATCATCGGTATCTCAATACCTAGTTCAATCTCGTTACCGGCAAGTCTCTTTACTCGTTCCGTAATACATCATCCCGCAACTAACTCATTAGTTGCAATGCTTGCAAGACTTAAGTGATGTGCATTACCGAGAGGGCCCAGAGATACCTCTCCGACAATCGGAGTGACAAATCCTAATCTCGAAATATGCCAACCCAACAAGTACCTTTGGAGACACCTGTAGAGCACCTTTATAATCACCCAGTTACATTGTGACGTTTGGTAGCACACAAAGTGTTCCTTTGGTAAACGGGAGTTGCATAATCTCATAGTCATAGGAACATGTATAAGTCATGAAGAAAACAATAGCAACAAACTAAACGATCAAGTGATATGCTAACGGAATGGGTCAAGTCAATCACATCATTCTCTAATGATGTGACCCCGTTAATCAAATGACAACTCATGTCTATGGCTAGGAAACTTAACCATCTTTGATTCAACGAGCTAGTCAAGTCGAGGCATACTAGTGACACTCTGTTTGTCTATGTATTCACACATGTATTATGTTTCCGGTTAATACAATTATAGCATGAATAATAAACATTTATCATGAAATAAGGAAATAAATAATAACTTTATTATTGCCTCTAGGGCATATTTCCTTCAGTCTCTCACTTGCACTAGAGTCAATAATCTAGTTCACATCGCCATGTGATTTAACATCAATAGTTCACATCACCATATGATTAACACCCACAGTTCACATCATCATGTGACCAAAACCCAAAGGGTTTACTAGAGTCAATAATCTAGTTCACATCGCTATGTGATTAATACCCAAAGAGTACTAAGGTGTGATCATGTTTTGCTTGTGAGGGAAGTTTAGTCAACGGGTCTGCCACATTCAGATCCGTATGTATTTTGCAAATTTCTATGTCAGCAATGCTCTGCATGGAGCTACTCTAGCTAATTGCTCCCACTTTCAATATGTATCCAGATTGAGACTTTGAGTCATCTGGATCAGTGTCAAAACTTGCATCGACGTAACCCTTTACGACGAACCTTTTGTCACCTCCATAATCGAGAAACATATCCTTACTCCACTAAGGATAATTTTGACCAATGTCCAGTGATCTACTCCTAGATCACTATTGTACTCCCTTGCCAAACTCAGGGCAGGGTATACAATAGGTCTGGTACACAGCATGTCATACTTTATAGAACCTATGGCTGAGGCATAGGGAATGACTTTCATTCTCTCTCTATCTTCTGGCATGGTCGGGTTTTGAGTCTTACTCAACTTCACACCTTGTAACACAGGCAAGAACTCCTTCTTTGACTGTTCCATTTTGAACTACTTCAAAATCTTATCAAGGTATGTACTCATTGAAAAACTCATCAAGCGTCTTGATCTATTTCTATAGATCTTGATGCTCAATATGTAAGCAGCTTTACCGAGGTCTTTCTTTGAAAAACTCCTTTCAAACATTCCTTTATGCTTTGCAGAATAATTCTACATTATCTCCCATCAACAATATGTCATTCACATATACTTATCAGAAATGCTGTAGTGCTCCCACTCACTTTCTTGTAAATACAGACTTCACCGCAAGTGTGTATAAAACTATATGCTTTGATCAACTTATCAAAGCGTATATTCCAACTCCGAGATGCTAGCACCAGTCCATAGATGGATCGCTGGAGCTTGCATATTTTGTTAGTACCTTTAGGATTGACAAAACCTTCTGGTTGCATCATATACAACTATTCTTTAATTAATCCATTAAGGAATGCAGTTTTTTTATCCATTTGCCAGATTTCATAAAATGTGGCAATTGCTA